CACACTTTTCTCCCGGTTGGAATTGACACCCCAACTTCATTCCCCCATGCTTTTCGACCCCACCATTCATCCCTTCCTTACCTTTGTCCCATGGATCTTTTCCATGGGGGCTGGGAATTACAGCCATGCCCGCCAAAGCCACAAAAAAGATGCTTGCCACCAAAAAATCAAATAGAGGTCTCATCTAGGAGATAATCGACCTCACCTCTTTTGTCAATTATGGAAAACCTCAGAGTTCACGTACTAATAGTGGATCAAACCCCTCTAAATGATTATTCTTTCATGGAACATCAGGGGATTGGGCTCTTGGCATAAACAAGCCCTTGTCAAGGACCTCATCATCAGACACTGTCCCACTATTGTCATCTTGCAAGAAACTAAGCTGGAACAAATGGACCGCCTTGATATCAAATCTCTATGGTGTTCGAGGAACATCGGATGGACTACTTTGGACTCGAGTGGTTCATCAGGGGCCATCCTTATAATGTGGAATGACCCATCCTTCCATATTTCTCACATTACAAAAGGTGTTTTCTATCTAACCCTTCTCATCTCTCTATCTGATTGATCCAATTTTTGGCTTAAGGAGTATATGGCCCCACTAAGACAGAGGAAAAGCCCTCCTTCTGGGATGAATTGATGGATATTTCTGGGCTCTGCTCTGATCAGTGTATGTCTGTGGGGGTGACTTTAATGCCATTAGGTGGACAAAAGAAAAATCAATCATTCGTAGACCTACCAGGAATATGCAGTGCTTCAATGACTTCATTGACAATGTCGGTCTCATTGAAATTCCCCTTCCCAACAGGCTATACACATGGTCGGACTTTAGAGAAGCCCCCACCCACACTCTTATTTGATTGGTTCTTAGCTATCGAGGCTTTCCTCTAGACGTACCAGAATGCCTTTATCAAGCGCTTAAACCGACCAACATCAAACCACTACCCTCTTCACCTATCCTTTGGCATGAATAAATGGGGCACCACTCCTTTCCGTCTCGAGAATTCATGGTTGCAGCACCAATCATTCTCCCCACTAGTTGGTTATTGGTGGTTAAACACGCCCTTTAGAGGTTTGTCGGGACATGGCTTTACTCAAAAACTGAAAGGGTTGAAAACAGTCGTCAAGACTTGGAGTAAATCAACTTTTGGGAGCACCACACTCCATAAAAACCAGCTCCTCGCTGAGCTCTCCTTGGTCAGCTCCTCACCAATAGCTTTTGCCGGTACCGACCACACAAAGAAGATCCATCAAAACATAGCTTCTGTCCATAACAACCAATGAGGAAATCATGTGGAGACAGCGTTGTAAATCAACTTGGTTACGGGAAGGAGACCTGAATATCTCCTTCTTTCATCACATCATGGCTGCTAAAAGAAGGAAGAACACTATAACAGAGATTCTCTCACAAGATGGTAAGAGCTTAACCTCTAAAAAAGATATTGAGAAAGAATTCATTACTTTCTTTACGGGTCTGTACACAAAAAAAGAAGGAAGCAAATTCATCCCTACACCACTTGATTGGAGTCCTGTGACTCCCTTACAGAGTGCAGATTTGGAAAAGCCCTTCTTGGAGGAGGAAATATGGAGTGCTGTCAAAGATTTAAAATCTCTCAAAACACCCGACCCAAACGGTTTCACTGCGGAATTCTACAAAAAAATTTGGAACACCATCCAACACGACATGTTCTTCCAGTTGGCATTCATTAGTCCGCTTGGGTAGGAGCACCTGGTTGATCATGGCGAACAATGCAGCTTGCGTTGCGGGAGATGCCCGCTTCTCGCCCGAAAGAACACAAGGGTCGAACACCTGGTCAACGATCCAGTACAGTAGGTAGTAGGCGTTTTCGTTTTGGCTCCCGAGCAAGAACGAGAAATAGGCGATGCCAGCATTGGATTAATTCCTTCGATGCTTGCTCAGAGCGGGGTCGACTCAATATCGAGAGACTCAGCCACCGAGGACTTTATCGCACCTTTATGTCTCCATCTCTCGAGTCAAGTGCCCGTGGAGACTTTGACCGAATGAATAGGGATCAATTTCCTTATAACACTTCTCCTTCCGACCTTCCAGCACCGAGCAGTGACAAACTGTGCGGAAGTAGATGGACCTGCCTGAGCTGGTGGAGGTGTTGTTGCGAACTGTCCGAGCTCCTGCAAGAGGATTAGCTCAAGGAAAAACACTTGAAGTAACAGCCATCAGCTGTCAGCTTGTTGGGACCAAATGATACAATGCGAGCAAAAGTTCCTAGATTCATGGAAGCACAAAAATCAAACCTTATTATAGTTGTAAGAAAGATTGAGATTCACTGCCTAAAAATCGTTTCGATATCAAGGAAGCACGTGCTACTGCTACTACTTTTGCACCTGCTTCTCCTATTATAGATGAATGAACTCCTACGCCCGAAACTCCTCTTTACCACATTTCTTCCTCTTTTGCAAGAGTATGTTCACTGCTCCTGCACCTCTCAATTTAGGGGCTTCCCCCCTTATCCCTCACCCTGCCCTTTCATTTCTGGTTGAGGGTGTTCCAAGATTTTTTTAAGAATGGCATCATCAATGCAAGCCTCAATGAAACCTATATTTGCCTCATCCTCAAGAAAATCGACGCCCAAAAAGTAGGTGATTTCAGACCCATTAGTCTCATCGCATGCATGTATAAGATCATTGCTAGGGTCTTATCTGAGAGACTTAAACCCCTCCTGCCCTCCATCATTACAAAAGAGAAATCAGCCTTTGTGGCGGATCGTCAAACCCTTGATGCCTCCCTCGTAGCCAACGAAATCATTGATGAATGGAAAAGAAAGAAGAAAAAGAGGTGGTCATCAAACTCGATATAGAAAAAGCCTTTGACAAAGTTGATTGGGACTTTCTTGATGAAGTCTTAATGCATAAAGGTTTCGGTCACACATGGATAAAATGGATTCGTGGGTGTATTTCTTCATCAAACTTTTCCATTATTATCAATGGTCGTCCTAGAGGTGAAGTATTGGCTTCTCGAGGCCTCCAACAAGGTGAGCCTCTATCCCCTTCCTCTTCATTTTGATTGTGGATGTCCTCAGCAGACTCCTCTCTCATGCTGCCAACCGTGGCTTTATCAAAGGCTTTGAGGTAAGAAGAATGTCGGTAATTATTCACCACCTTCAATTTGCCGATGACACCATCATTTTCTCCACCTATGATGATAAATCTCTCATTGATTTGACATTGTCCACCTGCTTGAAAATGCTTCTAGACTTAATGTGAATCTTCAAAAATCTGAAATTATGGTCATCAACATAGGGGACGAAGAAGTGGCTGTTTTATCCCAAACATTTGCTTGTAAAATTGGATCTTGGCCATCATCATACCTTGGGCTGCCTTTGAATGGAAAGCATCGTTCCATCTTCTTCTAGGATCTGGTGGTTGAGAAGGTTAAAAAAGGCTTTATTCATGGAAAAACTCTCACATCTCCAAGGATGGTAGTCTTACCCTCACACCCCTCCAACCTGCCCACCTATTATTTATTTTTATTCTCCTTGCCCACCAAGGTTGTTGAATCTCTCGATGGTATCACCAGAAATTTTCTTTGGAAGGGTACTAACGACCAAAAACGGCAGGACATCACTCAACAACCACCTAAAGAAAGTGGTCTCGGTTTAGTAAAGATGAAGACCAGAAACAAGGCCCTTTTAGCGAAATGGACTTGGTGATACATTCATGAAAAATCAGCCCTTTAGAGGAGAGTTATAGCAGCAAAGTACGGTATTTCATCATGGAAGATCATCCGTGGTAGATTAACTCTCCCCTCTGCAAAAGGCCCATGGAAGTCTATCCTCAGATACCAAAGTTTGATTCTTGATTGATTGCGCTACAAGGTTGGTAATGGACAGCACACTGCTTTCTGTAAAAACCATTGGTTAAATGAGGAGATTTTATCACATGAATTCCCCCTTCTGTTCAATCTGACCCTTAAAAAGGATGCTACTGTGAAGGACTTCTGGTGTGAAGAATCCGGATGTTGGAACATTCGATTAAGAAGGAATCTGAGAGAGGCAGAAATTGAAGAATAGGCATCATAATCACAACCCCTGTCTGCTATAAGGCTTTCTAAATCCACCGATTCCTTTAAATGGAAGCTTGAAGCCAATGGTCTTTTTACAACAAGATCCCTCATCAAGGACCTCTCCCAAATCGTGTCAGAACATGATTTCCCCCCTTTATATAGCCATTTGGAGGGGCCCATATCCAAAAAAGATCAAATTATTGATGTGGGAATTGAGCCATAGAGCCATAAACACTAACGACAAGCTTCACAGCAATACCTCTTTGTCTTCTGCAGCTACGCTTATAGGTTCTGGGGATACCTTCTTTCGGCCTTTGGATGGACTACTACTCTACCGAGCGACCCCCTACTGTTAGATGCAACTTTGGTGGGTCATCTTTTCAAAAAGGAAAATAAGATTCTATGGGAAAGCTTTGTCCGCGCTTTCCTCTGGATCCCTTGACAAACAAGAAACTTCTGCATAGGATCTATCGTTTGATCGGTTTCGAGAAACAATAGCATTTTTGTCCATTTCTTGATGTAAATGCCATCCGTCTTTTCATCATTATAGCTTTTCCTCTATGATTTCTAGTTGGAATAGCTTTTTGTAATCCCTGCATTGGGACCAATCTTTTGTAATTTCATATCATCAATGAAATTGTTTCTTTCAACTAAAAAAAAAAGAAGTTTTAATAGTTAAAAATAAAGGAGTAACATGGTTCATCTTATTGCAGCTCTCTCTCACCCTCTCTAGAGAAAGTGATCATGGTCCAAAGGGCTCTTACGTCCCCTTCTCTTCAACTTAATTCAGCTACGGCAAACTTGATTTGGAATTTTAGAGTCCCAAAGAAGGTAAAATTCTTCATTTGGACTTTGTTCTATGGAGGGATAGAGAAACTTCAGAGGAAACTCCCTCAATGGACTCTTTCTCCTACACAATGTGTATGAGCAATAATGAAACAATCGACCACCTCTTTCTCCACAACCCTTTTGTTTTCAAAGCTTGGGGGTTTATAGCTTCTTTGCTAGATTTCTCTCTTTGCATTCCTAGAAGAAAAGAATTGAGGATTTCATTACTGAAGGTTATGGAGGAAGGCAGCTCAAGGGCAAAGCGTGGGTTCTTTGAAATTGTGCGGCCTGAACTCTTTTATGGTCGATATGGAAGGAACAGAATAGTCTGCTTTTTGAAGATAAGTTGATTTTGGGTGAATATTAAGCATCTAGCTTCTTGGTAGGCTTTACTACACAAGAAAGTTTTTTGTAACTATGATCTTCTTTTGCTTACACAAGATTAGAAAGCGGTGATTGTTTAGAGCTTTGGGGAGGGTTAGCTCTACCCTCCACCTTTTGTTTGTATCCCCTTTCGGGGCCTTCTTGATATGAATACACATATTTTGTTTCTTATCAAAAATAAAAAATAAAAAATCACGGTCGATCAAAAGAAAAGGTTTAAATGAAATATCCCAGGGTTCCTCAAATCATATGTGTTATTGAGCATTGGAATCATGCTCAAATACATTAATTAAAAGTGATATCAAATGGAGGACAAACATGGAAGAAAAAAAGCAAAGAAAATTGTAGTTATGTATAGGTAAGAAAATAAATGAAAGAAAAGGTTAAAATGAAAATTAAACAAATTAGGGCAAATACACTTTTGGTTCCTAAGGTTGGTGCTAATTAGTCTATGAGACTTTGAAAGTAGTTTTAAATGGTCTCTGAACTCATTTGACTGTTAGTTGACTAATAAAAATATGATGTAGTAGTCAATTTGTTGAATATACTTTGCCGATTTGTCATAATCTAATCATTTAATATTATTTTTTATGACTTGACGATGATGTGGTCTTTCTCTCTCTCCTTCCTCAACTCTTCTCTTCCTCCTTCAACAAACCTTGCGATCACTTCCCTTATCGTCAGTCGTTGTCATTGTCGCCCTTCTCCTCTCTCGTCGCTCTCATTAATCTGTCATCATCACCGACGTTTCTCTAGATCTAGAACAAACTTACTTTGTTCCTTCGCTCCAAATCTGAACAAAGGTTGTTTCTTTATTAGTCTTAAACATGATTAGATCACCAATGAACCCAACAGCTTAAACTTATGCGTTAGGATAAATTTAATCATTTATAAGACATCTAACAATTTGAACGAGGGAACAAACTTTTGTTCCAATTCCAAATCCGAAATGAACTAGGAACGAAGGATGTTCCTTTGTTCTAGATTTGGAACGAATATGGAATGTTGACGATCAAATGAGCTCAGGAACCATTTAGAACCATCTTCCATGAAGGAGGGGGCGATGGCTGGTAAGGAGGAAAAGGCAATTGGCAAGAAGGGAGGTGGCATAAGCGAGCTCTGCTGAAGGACGAGATCTAAAGGCAGTTGGCTGGGAGAGGATGGTGATGACGACAACGACGGCTATGGCGACGATTGCTGGAAAATATGGATGAAGATGAAGATAAAGAATGAGAACGGAAGAGAGGGGAGGAAAAATGCCACATCAGGAGAAAAATAATAATATAAAATTATTATTTTTTGCCAAATCTTTTTTTGAAGAAACAATTTCATTGATCATATGAAATTACAATAACACGAGGGCGAAAATTCCTATCCAAGGGAGTTACAAAAAACCTCTCCAATTGGATATAATGTCACCTTAGCAAAGTCCAATCACCAAGTCTTTTTTTTTTTTTTTTTTGTATGAAACAAGATATTTCATTGATGAGTCCAATCACCAAGTTAAGTGTCATATTATCTTTCTGTTGGTCAACTAACAATCATATAAACTCATACAACCATTTAGAACCATTTTCCAAACCTCAAAAATTAAAGTTTTCCTCTTAAAACTTCAAAAGCCAAATAAACACCAACCTCAAATCTCATTTGCAAAAAATGTAATTTGTCGAGGTGCATTGTGTCCAATGTCTGTGTCCATTTTTTAAAATTTTGGTATAACAAACTTATAAAAAAAACATAAAGGTGTAACACATTTGTGTCTATACTTCTTAATCCATATTCCATAGATTACCTCGAGGATTTTATACATAAGCAGATAGGTAGGGTGCAAAATTAGGCAGTCACGATCATCTTTGCATACCTCTGTAATAAAATCATAACAGATGAGAGAGCTTTCAAGATAGAAATTCCATTTTGCAAGTTTGGTGATTGTTTATTGAACCCTTTTAGACTGGCTACATTGGAAGCCAAGTACTGACCGAAGTTCATGTGCTTAGGAGACTGATCTGCAGAAGCAAAGAGCTGCATTAACATTCCAAAGACGTTTTGCATTGTTTTTTTAATTTCAAGGGATCATTTAAAAAAAAAAAAACTTTGAAGCATTTGATCTGAACGCAGCAATAGGAAATATGTGGATTAGTTCTGAAACTTACAGCCAGATAGACTTTCGATTGCTTTTTTAACAACATGAACAGTCTTCTGCAAAGGAACCTTGGAAAGCTGAAAGAGATCATCAGCAAAAACAAGGCGACGCATCCTTCTAGGTTCTATTGAATTCAGCTTAAGTAGAACATGTCCAACACGATGCAGAATGGAAGCATCACGAGCAAACCATCCTTAACAATGCCACACAAGAAAAACTTTAATGAATATCCATATTATAAAATGAAGAAAGAGGTCAAAACAATGATATACAAATGATATGACATCTTACCAATAGTATCCAAACTCTGGGAATTAGACAAAACTCTATTCATCGGTACAACTCCATGTGAGGGGCGAAATGCAAGTATACCACAAAATGAAGCTGGAATTCTGATGCAACCAACTGTATCAGTGCCTGAAATTTAAAAACATTATAGAAATAAGAAATTACATCATTATGAGATCAAATAGCATCTTGCTAGACTTGGAGCCTCCCCCAAATCTTCGAAGAAAAGTGGCATTTCCATAAAAGGAGATTCAAATCTTCCAATGGTCTTTCACGTCAAGTGCACCATTGAGGCCTTAACAATATAGCTTCCCAGGTTCCAATATATTGATTGTTTATTATAATGGACCAAGTTTTAACATAGAGTTGCTAAGATGACCTCACAAAACAATAAAACAAATGCCAAATGACTCAAATATCCCATCTAAGCATCGAACGATCAAAAGTACTTTACACAAGTGATCCTCCGAAATAGCGAAAAAATCCAATATTTGCTTATTCTCCCAAAGGTTTAGCAATACAGCACGCGAACAAATAACAATTACACTAACCAAGTGCGAAGTCAACAAGCTCTCCTGCAACAGCCACAGCGGACCCACTAGAAGAACCTCCAGGAACACACGATGCCAATTTTGGATTGGTAGGAGTTCCATAGTGCTTGTTCTCCCCAGTAATCCTAAATTAACAGACAAACAACTCAACAACATTTCCAATAAATAATCTCTGAGAATATGAACAGAGGCTTACCCAAAACCCAGTTCATCCATAACAGTCTTCCCAGCGCAAGCAGCTCCATTCTTGAGCAGAAGAGTCAGCACCCCATCTGTCTTCTCAGCAGCATCATGAGTTCTCCTCCAGTCCGGATTGCCGAACCCCGTCACGTAGTCCTTCACATCGAACCTGCAGCACCCCACAAAACAAATACTTGAGAACAAAAACCCCATGAGCGTACATGATTCTCAATCTTATTGTTTGAAGCAAATATCAGAGAGCAAGGGAGAGTACGAACACATCCTTGATGGCGAAAGTCAGGCCGGCGAGGGGTTGTCTGGCGGCGGGAGGCGGAGGCTGAGGGAAAGGCTGAAGCTCAAACTGCTGGAGGAAAGCACCGAAGTCCGCTCTCTGCAAAAGTCTGGCATTCTTTCGTCTCCTCCGAGTCTCTGCAAAAATTACAATTCCGGCTACACCGACCCCGATCACGATCCAAAGTTTGGGGTTGGAGGCATTGGATTTGAAGAGCTTGAGGGGCTTTGACATGAATCAAATTCGGAAGAAACTGGGCTATTGACAATGAACTGTTGGAACTCAGAAGAAATGGAGGGGTTTTAGGAAGGTTTAGCAAATGCAAACGATCATAAAAATGATGGAATATATAAAAGCAGGGAAATTTGCGAGGGGTTTGGTTTGGGCATTTCGGAGGATGGTAATCTAATGGTTTCGGAGAGCGTGGCTCCTACGCGCTTTTGTTCACAATCTCCAATACGAGTGGGCTATGCCTCAAGGCAATTTCTACCCTCCTCTTTTATTAAAATATTGTTTTAGTCCTAAGTTTTTTCAAGGGAAAAATGTCATTTTTAACCTTGAGGTGTATTAATTTCACCCCATTACCCCTTAAAAAACTTTTTTATAGGTAGATATCGGAGGTTTGCTCCTCTATATTTAGAGGCATCGTGCCCACTTTAAGGTTCGAACTTTAGAAATATCGAGAGTTTTATGTATTAAACTTGTCAAGAGGTTGGAACTTGATACCTCAAACTCTTGCTAACCATAAATTTAAAATAAAGTGTTGTAATCTTTACCCTAAATTTTAAAAGGTAAGGTAATTTCTACCATCTGATAATTTTTGGGTTTTTCTGAAATTATTTATATGTATCAATGAATTATAAAAATTGATAGAATTTAAAAAAAATGAGAGTAGAGCTTTTTTTCCTTTTTTTTTTTTTTTGAAGTCTATGTGTTTGAGATTGAAGTGAATGAATTTGCAGAATTTCAAAATCCAAGGAATTGAATACATTATTACTTTTCAGAACATTGAAATTACGGCAANAGTTATTTAACGATGGATTGTGTATAAATCAAACTTTATATATATATATTTTTATTGATGTACGAAAAGAGGGAAAGAAAGCCCAATACCCAAAAGAATTACATGATCCAATTGTTAAATAAAGAAATCAGACTAAATGAACCAAAAAGATGTGATAATTTACACCAAGATATGACAAAGAATAGTCTCCAAGGGGCGACCCTCTTGGCCAAGGACTTGAAGTCTCTTGGTCATACTGTTTTAGATATCTCAAGTTCGAATCTTCGAGTGAGCTTAATACAAGAAACTCTTGTTGTCTTCGAGATCCAAGTCTTGGGGCAAAAGACAATCATTGTGTCCAGGACTCTTGGTTGTCAAATATGTGTGTGTGTTGGGGTGGGGGGCAAGGAAAGTTATAAATAAAATGTTTATTGTTCAAAAACTTGATTTTCATTAAATTTTTTCATTTTGAAGTTTTTTACATTATTTTTTGTAAAAATTAGTGTGTGAATAGCATAAATGTGATGAAACTAGGGAGTAAAATTGCAACGGTTATCTAAGTTTAGGGTTCAATGTGATGAAATTAAAAGTTTATGGTGAAAATTGATACAACTTTTCAAGTTTATAGAGGTAAATTACAAGTTTAGTTCACAAACTTTTTAGGTTTAATGTCGAGGTAGGAGCATGATTAGTCAAATCGTCCACAAGTACGTAAACTGCTTGGATAGAAGTTATAGATTATCCCTTGGTAGGAGTAATTCTTTCTTGGACGTTTAACGAGACTTTCCAAATTTTAAAAAGCATCTAATAGGTGATTGAACTTTCAATTTTGTGTTCAATAGGTCCTTAACCTATTAGATAATTTTTAAGTTCACGAATCATTTAGACATAAAATTAAATGTTGTGTTTAATAGAATCCTAATTTTTTACTTTGTGCCTAATAGTTCGTCTACTGTCGTAACGCCATCGCGTCGATAAGGGTTTGGAGTTGCCACCAATCATCTACGAGGTGTGATTGGTCACCTAAAAAAATAAAGACAAGGTCTGCGAAAACAGATTGTTGGTTCGGGAGTCGACTGAGCGTAGGGAATGTGTTAGTACCCTACGACAACGGTACCGAGTTTTTGAAATAATTATTTAGAAAAAAAATAATCAATAAAAAACAATTTTAATTTTAAGAAACATCAAGACTTAAACTTGCGACATGAGTGTTAACACTAAAACATCACCAATGTACCACCACTTTGAGATATAAGCTATGATCCTTTTTAAAATAGATATTTTGTATTTTTTAATTTTGTTTAAAAAAAACTCTAAATGAAATCTTTTATTTAAAATAATTATTTAGTAAAAACGATAGCATTCAAAGACTCGAACTTGGGTAATGTACATTAAAAATGAAACCTTTTATCACTATGCCAACCTCTTAAGATATAAAGATTGTATTTTTTTACACAAACAAAAGTTTTAATTTATTTTTTTAAACCTAAAAAAAAACTACAAATTTTGTTAAATTAAAACAAAAAAATAAATAGTTTTTTTTTATTTGTTTCGACATTAACGAGATTATTTAAAAGAAAAAACTTTTATTTAAAAATAAAGTCAAATTTACTTTACTGTTTAAATGGAAAAAAATATTCTAAAACAACTTTTCAAAAGATTTTCTTTAAATACTTTTTTTTAAATCAATTTTTTAAAAAAACCTGCAGATCTAACAAAAAAAACTCTTCCATATAGAAAAACTACAAAAAATAAAGGAAAAAAAAAACAAAACTCACTTAAAAAAAATTAAAAGACTCTTTAAAAAACAAAATTTTAAGAGGAAAAAAAACAAAATTAAAAAAAAATATTGCAGAAAAAGACTCTTATTTTTTAAAATAAAAAATAAATAAAACAAATTTGACAAAAAAAAAATTAAACCTTGTTAAAAGATTTTCCTTTTAAAGAAAAACTAATTTTTAAATTTTGAATTAAAAAAATCCAATTTATTTTTTTAAACAATATTTATTTCATAAAAAACTCCTTTTTTTCAACTTATTTTAACCAAAATTTTAAAATAAAATCTCTTATTTAAACAAAATTAGAGAAAGAAAAACCTTTTTATTTTTAAAATATCAAAATCTTTATTTTCTTTTCAAAACTTATTTAAATTTTTTTTTATCTTAAAAAAATGATTTCTTATTAAAAATAAAGGTTCTTTCCAACTTATTTACTCACTTAAATCGGGAGGGAGGTCACCGGAGTGTATGCGTCACCGAAGGTCGTTGGAGTTCGTGATTGGATGTTCTACCATTCGCTTGTGTCGTAGGAGGTCGTGGGTATCAAGGAGAAAAGGTGGTGGGATAAGAAAGGAGAAGAAATGGAGTGGTGGTTACGAGTTTTACAGAGGCAGAGAAAAAGAAAATGTGAGGGTGTGAATTTCTAACTCTCTACCCTGCAGTCAAAAGAAGAGAGAAAAAAGGAGGGAGAAGAAGAAGAGAAGGATGACACGAGTTCGGTTATGACGAAGGAAAAACGGGAGGAGAAACCAAATTTTTATTTTTAACCAAAACAGAATCTATTTTTTTAATTAAAAATACCTTTATTTAAAACAAAATTCTTTATTTAAAATCAAATCTTTTTATTTCTTTTATTTTAATAATAAATCAAATTCTTTAAAACAAAATCTATTTTTTTTAATTTAATTTTAACTTTAGCTTATAACCAATAATAAAGTAATCTTATACTATTTTAAACCAAAAAAGTAAAACTTAATAAAACAAAAATTAAATAGTAAAAATTAAAATTAAAATGAAGCCAGACCAAATACGGTATCTACATCTACGTTAAGAACTATCGAAAAGAAATTGATTTAACTAAGTAGATGCAAAATTGGAAGTATACAGACCTTACTATACATCTTTTAAAGTCCAATGACCTAATAAATATAAGAGAAATTATTTTTAATTGTCATTTTAGAAACTATATTTCACCGCTTAAGTTTTCAAATTTTTAAATATTTGGATTCTCAGATTTTAAATTTTCATTAATTTCAAGATTGCTCTCCATTATTACTATTTTATTTGATTAAATTTGTTTTTTTTATTTAAATGATTAGATTTGATTTTTATCCTTCTTTTCCATATTTGGATTTCAAATCTTTGACCCAACCTAAAAAATCTCATATTTTTCTCCTATCACAATTAATACCAAATCCTTCCTTTTTGTAATCAAAATTAAAAAAATTCTACTCTCACCGAATTTGTTCTTTTTCAGAATTCTTTTTTCACGTTTTTTTTTGTAATAATATGATAAACTTATACTCCTCTAAATGGTTATATAATATATACTTTTTATTATTATATACTATTATGTTAAAGAATGTATTCCAACTACCATTGATATGAACCAAAATGTCTTAGTCCTCAAGGATTTAAAGGAAGACGTTGGAGAATCATATGTCAAGTTGACAACAAATTGAAGTTGCATTAAATGTACTCTGGTTTCATTATGGCCAACTCAAGTTGCATTGATGAAAGTAAAAGTTGAATTCAAGATGCATGAAATGAACAAGACTTTAAAGTGCTTCAAACTCCACTTCATTTACTCTTAGAGGGTTACAAACTCTTGGTTTTATGACGGAAGAGTTTGTTGGGTGTGTTGCCCTAAACTCGTAGTTTGTATTTTGTAAAAACAAATGTTTATTTAATAAAATTTTATTCAATAAATTTGTTGTTGAATTATAGCTTTGCATTGTCCAAAATCCAATAAACTAAACATCCAAGGTTATTTATGATGTAGTCAGGACAGTATATATACAGGGTATATAGTTGATATACGGGGTATATATTTGATATACCCCTGATATATGAATGGATAATGTCCCGTGAATAACTTAAAGGGTCTATAGTATAT